GAAGGCTTAGGAATAAATATAACAAAAGAAGTGCAAGGCTGGTACACGGAAAACTACAGAACAATTTTGAAAGAAATTTAAAAAGGCCTAAATAAATGGAAAGGCATCTATCTAAATGGATTTAAATATTCAGTATATATCTAAATATTCATATAGTGAAGGTGAGAGACCAAATTTACATTTTAAAACGAGAAGAAATGAAAACAAGAGGAAAGCAAGAGGACCAAAGGAAATGCAGTAGGAGCCATCAGGATGGACATTGGCCCTGGTTCTGCCCTGTGGTACAGAGCACTCCAGAAGTTAACATGAGCCCTATGGTAATAGCTTCTACTAAATAGCTTCTGCTAAAGGCTCTGCAGAAGCACAAATTCTGCTGGTGCTGATGACAAACGTAGCGAAGATAAGGTCTGTCCAGAAAGTACCCAGCCACACACTATGAAGAATAGAGACGTTAATTCAAAATGATACAAGATACAAGAAACATTGTACACAGGACAATGACACTTCAGTCCCCTTCAAAGTAGGCACCTTGGGATCTCACACAGTTCTCCCAGTCGCCATTAGCTGCCCCATCGTATTTTCCTGAATTTCATCGATGGCCTGAAATCTCTCTCCTTTCAAAGGCAATTTTAGTTTTGGGAAAAGCCAGAAGTCACAGGCCACCAAATCTGGGCTATAGGGGGGCTGAGCGATTTGATGTTTCACCAAAACACTCTATGAGAAATGACGCATGAGCAGACTCATTTTCGTGGTGAAGCTGCCAATCATCAGTTGCCCACAGGTGTGGCCTTCTTAATAATCTGAATAGCTTTCAATGAGGAATGTCTAAGCTTAACAGAAAATTCGATGCAGGGTTTTTGCTCTACTCGCTCAGTCATTTTGAATACAATGGCTACAGTACACGTTCACTCAAAGGGGTCTACCATCCGGCCCCACTGACTAGCACAGTGAAGTCATCGTTGTTCACACACGCACATTCCAGTCCACCCTTCTTGGCTGCCAGGTTACATCTATGCTGTGCAAAGAGTTCTTATGATGTTAATAATGTTTGGACTTTTTCAGGACAGACTTTGGTATTTCCTGTGATTGAGATATTTTTATCAGTTCAGAAAAATCTGGATGGGATATAAGGCTGACAGTGATATCCACAACAATTAGCATTTTCAGAATTTTCCATGTGCTCCATTATTAGGCATTGTGAAGCATATTCTTTAACATGTTTATTTTTTGATTCACTAAGCGCTTGCTGGACACTTGTCCATTTTCCTTTCTTACAAAATGTAGGATTTGAATTTATCTTTGAGTATAATTGAGGGATAAGGTCTATGTTTCTACTACACACTGTTACTACTTGAAGTGTAAGATAATGTCCTTACCCTTTTAAAGAGTGTACGACCCCATTTTAGTAATTTGTTTTCTACTGTTTTGTGTAGCACTTTTTGTACTTTTCTGTATGCTGGTCAAAAACACCCATTAGCTTATTAAGCTTTAAAGAAAAGATGGTATAAACATATGCCATTTTAGAGCAATGTATTATTTTTCTATGAATGAACCAGATATAATTTTATTGTTAATATCATAAATGTAGCATTGATATGAGGATAATAGGCATTATGTATTCTTGTGTGTTGAATGTTCCCATTAAAAAAGATTAATGTTAGCTGTCAGTGAATTTTTTAAAATGCTTATTTGATTCAAAACACTCTTCATAAAATTTTTACTTAAAACTATAAAAGAGCAAAAAACTAAAATATCCATAAATAATGTAATGAAATCCCAGTTGATTCTGAGAGCAGAAGTCAGCCAAAACGAACAAATGAGTCTTGTAATTGCACACTAGAGGTCAAAAATTAGCCCTATAAAATGAAAAGGGAAAGGAAATGCCATAGACCTAAAGAAAAAGGTCATAATATTAGTTTAGGATTGAATTAAAGCAATCCACTACTAGCAATTTCCCTTTATCTGACAGCAACTGTAGAAAGTTTTAACAAATCCTATTAAAATGAACAAAGCTATTTCCTGAAATAATAATAATATTATAATAATAAAGATTACAATAAATGCTAAGCACTCCACAGCCTGATTTGCATCTCATTTTTCCCCCAAGTAAGCATAATGAGTATCCCGTTAGCCAAGTTTCAATTTAGAACAGGTCCTTAGAAACACAGCAAAGTGAGAGTTGGAGTTGGGATGAAATGGGTAATTGTAATTACCTTTATAAAGATAATGCTGCATTTGTAATGTTTAAAAACCTCTGTGAAAATTGCCGTAGATAAGGGTTGCAAACAGGTTTGAGATCTGTACTGACATTAGCTCGGGTGCTGTCTACCTAAAGTTCTATGTACTTGAACATGATTCTGGTACATATGATCTTAAGATATTAAAGGAGCGAGTGTTCTGTGATTTCTACATCTTTGTCATGGACAAAGAACTCAAGTGGTATTCTTTTGTGATTTCTGATTCATTTGTTCATTGAGAGGTTAGCTAAAATTAAACCAGTGGGTTAAAAAGAACCCCCTCGCCCCGCAATTCAGTTCTTATAACTACTGTAAAATATAAACTCATTTTAACAATTCTAACAAGTCAAATGGTAGATGAAACTTTTTCCATAAAGAAATCTTAATTTCTCTCCATGAAATTGAAATAGAGGATTCTGGGTGAGCTATATTGGCAAACTCAGAGCATTTAGGCCACAAGGTTCATTTATGCTATTTTTAATTAGCCAAGGTTATTTGAGTAATCAACTCCATTACCCTCTGAACATACTGTCTTAAATACATTTCAATTATTGGTTGTTTGTTATAATGTAAAGAAAAAATACGATCGATTTTTGCTCATCTTCTCTCATACTTATTTTCTATATGGTCAGCTCTTCAGGATAAGATTAAGATATGAGTAAAATGAAATAATTAAACAGCACCAGCAAGATAGATAAAACACATACATAAAAGCCTCTCCAGTTTCACTCTGAATTACTACCTGTCTCTCTTTCAATTTTGGGCATCAAATTTCCACTCAAGGTATATAGCTTCAGTCTGGAGGGCAAAGCACTGCTAACAAAAAACAACAAGAAAAATAAAAATGACTAATTTGCATACATAATAATAAAGGAGAAAAGAAAGAAAATGATACAAGGAAGAGGTGGGGACTTGTTTCTTCTCAGAGAAACAGGAGACACCCATTTTTCTACTGTGAAAGTAGAGGGAAATACTCCAGGCTAAAAGAAGAGTCTTTCTTAAGATGGCGCCTACTGGATTCCTGTAATTTTTCATGTAATGGGAATTCGAGTTGCATAAAAAGTCGCTTTAGGAAGCTCTCCACATAGATTCTTTCAGACAATTCAAAAAAATCAACATCAATTAAAAGAAAATCACATTTTGGTAAGATTCAGTTTTCCAATTTAATGTTAAACTGATAGTGTCCTAAGTACTCTGATTTATATGTAATGTTACACAGAAGTTAAAAATTCTTGGTTGAGCAGAAATTAAAAAACAAACAAGCAAACAAACAAAACCAAAACAGGTTTCCTTGTATATTGATGAAGAAGAAATGAACCTGCCAGGAGAACGCAGCCATTGGGCATAATACAGTGTGTATACATGACATCTCTCTCTCTCTTCACAGATAGTTCTGAAGAAATACATATTTATTCTGAAATAAACAGCAAATTGACTATTGAATTGGGAAAAACATGTTGCACTTCCTGTTTTCCCTCTCACCAGCTAAGTGACCATGGGAGAGCCATTCTTTCAGCATCAAATTAACAAAGTAGTAAAATGCTTATTGATGGCATCTATAAACTCCTCGGAGCATGGAACAGAGTGGACAAGAATAGACTAACGCGACCTTTCGCATTTAGAACACTGAAGCGAAATCTCCAGGGAAATCTAGGACTCCCTCTTTCCTCTCCCCTCTCTCTCTTAAGAAACAAAGTCATGTACTTTGTCCCAGGCACTGATCTCAATCCTTTGTCTGCAGTATTAACTCATTTAATCCAATACAACACTCCGTAAGGGCGTTACTGCAATTCTCCCCATTTGTTGGCTGGGGAACTGAGGCACCGAGATTAAATAAATTGCTTAAAGCCATACAGCTATTTAGTGGGGGAGGTGAAATTCCAGCCCATTCTAGTTATACGATCTGTAGTTTTAACAAATATGCTTTGCTTTCTTTCTTTGTATTTATCCCGTTAAAATGAGGTCAACTGCAAAATAAGATGTAAACTAATGACAGGAGGTGGAAAGGGTTAACACTAAAGCACATCCCGGAGCTTGGAAAAAAACAAAAACAAACTAGCTAGAGATAGCCAATTAGAGCCCCCGCAGGATATTCAATGGGCCTCCTGTTTCTTGAATCTCTCGCTTTCGCTCCGGCTTACACTTTACAAAGCAGCTTTGGCGAGTGGACCACGCTGCCGCGCGCCTCTTCCTCGACTCGCCTCGCGGGTCTGGGGTCCTTGGGGCTTCGCCGTGTTAGTAACAGACGCGCTCCGGTTTGCTTTCTTCACACTCCAAGCACTGCCACACACACCCTCCCGGAAGAGAACTGTAATTAACCCTTTAGCGTCCTTGAAGAACCCCTTCAGTGGGCCGCGATCCCCCGCATTCGGGCACGGGAGGCGTCCCGGGGGCCAGGTGGGTGCGGGCGCCGCTGGCTGGAGGGCGGGCGGGGTGCAGGGATGGCGCCCAGAGAGCGAGGAGCTGTCTCACCGCACTCCCCTCCTGGTTCTCCTTTTTCTGCCTCTCCCAGCACGCCGGGCTGAAGTTGCCCTCTCACTACCCCTCGCATTGCTCCCCGGGTTTAATCTCTCGGCCACTTCTCAGCCTATGCTGAGGAAAGTGCAGCCATTGGACAGGTCGGTGCTAGCTGCCGGTTTCGGGGAGGAAGGCGGGGGGAGAAGGCTGGAGGAGCCAAGGGGAGGGAAGAGAGAGGAGGGAGGAGGGTGCAGCGGACGTTCTGGCAAATTGCGAGCTGCCTTTCCTCCCCAAAGTGTGTAGCAGGAGCGCGGGGGAGCGCGGCGGCGCCTCCTCCGCCAGCAAACTCCAGGGTTCGGCTGGGCTTGCAGCCACCTCTTCCTTAGCCAGGAGAAACCCTCTCCGAATAGGTTTCACCCTGACTTTTTTCCACCCATTTCTTTCTTTTTCCTCTTCTTTTAAATTTTGTTTTTTTCTCCCCTGGTTTGGACCTCAGACTGCTGCAGCCTGAGCCTTCCGAGGGCTCAGCTCTTTGGGGCTTTCCATCCCGCCCGGCTGCGAGAAAGGAGGCGCGTCCGGCGTCGGTAGAAGAAAAGAAGAACAACTTGTCGGAGAGGTTTCGCCAGTCCACATTAACCCCTCCCGCAAACCCAAACCTCCCTCTGGGGTCATCCCAAGACTGAGGAAAGTTCCTTCAGTGCAGACTGCTCTCTTGGATTTGAAGGAGGCACCCGCGCTGGCTGTGGAATTAGATCTATTTTGAACCCAGTGGAGCGCATCGCGGGGGCTCTGAAGGCACCCGGGTGGCGCTGCCTGGGAGAAAGCGAGAGTTTGCGAACCCCGCTTGCAAGTGGTCTTTCCTCCCCGCGAGTGTTGTCTTGTGTCTGGGGTGAGGGCTGCGAGTGTTTTGGCGAGTTGCGAAGAGAGACCCGGAGGTCCGGAGAGGACTGCGCTCCCCCTTGTACTCCCTTCCTTCTCCTGGTTGCAGGGTGTGAAATCCCAGCGAAATACACAGAGGCCTCCTGGTACTGCCAAGACCTGTCCGCAGCGTTAAGCCCTGCCAGCCCATTCCTACTGGGAGCCCAGGGCGCTAGGGAAGGACTGGCGGGCAGGAGGAGGGTGGTCGCGGCGGCGGCATGGCGAGGTTCCCGAGGGCCGACCTGGCCGCTGCAGGAGTTGTGTTACTTTGCCACTTTTTAATGGACCGGTTTCAGTTCGCTGAAGGGGAGCCTGGAAACCAAATCGATGGTAAGATGCACTTTCGCTTGTTGATTTTGTGCGCCGCTGAAGACCTCTCTGGTACCCTCATTCTCAACCCGCACCTCCCCCCCTCCCCCATCTGTCTGCCCTTGGGAAAGTTATTGCAATTGCCTTTTGGGTAAATCTGGGCTTCCCAAATGGGGAGAATAGGGTTGGCTAGCGAAGGATGGAGGGGCCTGGGGGTTTTCCCGAGCATTCGGGCTTGCTTCACCTGAGCACCAGAGGGTGGTACTGACTCCCCCAAGTCGCCAGAGAGGGCTCTGGTTTAAGAGCAAATCTTCTGTGGATACTTCACCCAGGAGCTGCCATCCCGGGGCTGTCTCATCTCCGACTCCTCCTCCTTCCCTGCTGCCGGGATAAACTGAGCGAGTGCGTGCTGGGGTCTGGGTGGGAGACGTGGTGTCAGCTGGAGATTGCACTGGTTTTGTCAACTGGAGAAAATTACCAGTGGCTTCACCTTTCTCCTCTAGGCAGTCGCCACCTTAGCTCCCGTTCTCTATCGGGGGTTCAGTGGGTACGGCGGGGCGCAGAGGAACGTAGGAGGAGGCAGAGGTGGGGTCGGCGCGGATCTGTAGGCTGACCCTTGGCGTCATTGTCCCCCGTGGGAAGTGGGGGACTTCGTAGAGAGGCCTGAAGGTGCCGGGGTTCCTCTGAGTGCCCCGACATTACCCCACCGCGCAGCCCCGGCATCCGCATCTTCCCAGGGGCAGCGGCCTCCTGCTCCGGCGGCTGCTCCAGCCAGGTGTGCGTCCAGCCGCGAGCTGCGCCCCCGGGGCCAGCGCGGAGCCCGCGGTGCTGCCCTCCGCCCGCCTCCGGCTGGCTCCTCCGAGCGAGGCGCTGATGAGCCCAAGGTCCGCCTGCCTCTCAGGACCCTGCCCACTGCCAGCCGATGCCTGACCCCCCGCCCCCCATTTTTACCCATCAGGAAGAAAGTGAAGAAACAGGCAGAGAGAGACCTTGGCAGAAATTTGTGAACTCGAGTGGACTTCGAGAGGTGAAATGAGGGGGAAAAAAAAAACCCCCAAAAACAACTAACAAGAAACACAAGGAAACATTTCTGTTTAGGATAATAAGGTTTTGTTTTAATTCTGAGGGCAGGGGGTGGGGGGACGGGAATGGTAAGCGATTTCTCTGGAAGTACACAAGTGTCTGAAAATGTCAAATGTAAGTGGCAGATGGAAGAAAGCTAGGGAGGGCACCTGGGGATTCCAGGTGAAGTGAATCTTGAAGGAGGTCCGTGAATGAAATTTTACAAGCTGAAACCTATAAGGCAGCCCAACAATGTGTCTGCTCCAGATGTAAATTTTTAGAGAAGGTACAGATTCATGGTTGGAGGAGGGTGTGTGCCTGTGTTGGGAGCACAGGGGAAACATGGTGACAACACTTTTAAAACTGAATAAATCGCAAATTTCCTGGGTGTTGATTTGTCTTTGTCACATATAATTGTCCTCCATACATGGACATAGGGCGTTCTTGACTAGGTATTATTTAAATCAGTTGTTCATACCTCTGTTTATTTCTCCGATACATTCCGTTGGTTAAAGAAAAAATAAGACTTATCCCTCCAGGAAGCAACACATTTATTTTAAAAGGTAATTTTCATGGACATATTCATGGAATAAATGTGTCTTTAAGCATGTAAGCACTTTAATTCATTTCAAAGGAGATCAGAGTGGTGTATGTGCCAAAATGTATCCAAAGTTTTTTGAAAACTTCTTTGGCACTGGGTGTAAATAATGCATTACAGTAAAAAATAAAAGGTCAGCGGATTTTTTTTTCTGATTTTTTTCCACAATAATACTATATTGTGGAAAAAATATATACAAAAATGTACTATTCTGTTGTTAAATTGAGGATGAAATTCATTTTACTCTAAAATTGGTCAGGTAATTAAAAGCCTTTTGTTTGGGAAACATAAAATACTTAAATTGCTCAACATAAATGTGCAGGTATTGTAAACTAACTCAGTATTTCTGGTGGAAAACTACTCTAGAAACCCATATATTTATAGGATTGAGTAAAAAATGAAGTTTTAAATTTCTTGACAAATGTATTTGGAGATTCATTCAAATGGAAGTTTTCTGGATATCAGTCTGCATAAAGTTTTATGAAATAATCCTGGAATTAAATGGTTAGCCTACTGAATATATAAAATATAGCAATGAAATGGAAAAAAAAAATACAGCTTCTTTTGTAAAATAGTCTAGCTAAAAGTTGAACACAATAAATAAAAAATGGCCCAACAGTCTTGAAATCTGGCATGTAGCAATCAGGATTTGTATTACAGACAGTTTGGCATGGGGAGAAAATCTGATTTCATAACAGGGATATTTTATTATGCATTTTAGCAAACTGCAGTTGATTTTATTGCCACCAGAGGGCAGAGAAACTGCTAAGGTATTCTATTCCTATTTTTCCCAAATCTCTGATTAATGATCTTCAATATTTTGTTTTTCCTATTTACGATGTTTTTATTTTTAGCATTTCAGCTTTTATCAGTGGGTGTAAATTTATGAAAGTTTATTATATTTTTGTTTTTATTGACGTATACTAGATATTAATCATTCAACTCAGTACATGTAAAAATACCTGCACTCTGAATTCATTCTTGTGGTTTAATAAGTGCAGTGGAAAAATGAAATACCCTCTTTTGCATTATTGTTGGATATTTTAAAATTACTGTGGAATTACAAAAATTATAACTTTAAAATACCTCTTATTAAAAGTTCATTACTATAATAAATTTAACTTTAGGATTGAATATACCTTATGCTCATCTGTAAAGTATTTCTCAACCCAATATTTAGAGAAAAATACGTTTAGGATATTTCTACATTGTATAAACTTCATATAATCTCTATATTATTATACACTCATTTTTACACAATAAAGTGATTGAAAAACAGTCTAGAAACAATGCCAAAGGAGAGGGATGTTTTAATGTCTTGAAAAATTCTAAAATTTAAGTGAAGAAAAACGGCCTAAAATAGGTAGGTAGAGTTAGATCTGATTATTACTCTTAAATGTGACTTTATGCAACAAGGAAGTTCATTACCATTATACAGAAAGAGCAAAACTAGTTTAGGACCCAAGGGGATTTTAACTTTTTAAACTTTCTAATATTGTTATTTTCTAGGGACAGTTTATTTTTAGCAGATTATTTGCATTTATTTTAGTTGTTTCTCTAGTTGGATATTTTCCTATTTGTGCTTTCATTGAAATTATAAGACAGTTTGAAATGTTACTCCTAATTTTGGAGTTACGAGAGTATCTCTGTTGAGACAAACCATCACTAGTATTAAATTTCTAACAGTTCGAATATATTCCTCGGACAAATAATAGCCACTACTTGTGACTGCATATAAAAATTTTTAAAATATAAAGTGCAAAAGTCTTTTTTCCTTTAAAGAATAGATACAAGTTGAAGCTTGAGGTTGGCAAGTTTGAACTGTGACATCAGTGTGATCTAGAACATTTAAGTTAGAGATAACGTTTTAGGTCATGGATGTCTGCATAGAAATTTTGAATTATAATTAGGACTGCATTTGTGAAATCTGATCTTTAGAAATGGGTTTTTATCAAGGCAAATGCGCTTGAGTAAGGATAATAGAAGACACTCATTTGCTCTTAACAGGTTTCTTCTTTGCAAGAATTATGCTTTCATGCAGAGAGGTAGATAATACGGATTCTTTTCAGCTAGTTTTGTCTGTTTTTTGCTTTTTAAAAGATATCTTCTATGGTAGGCACAGTATGTTTATAAAGAATGAATTGATCGAAAACTGTGATCATGAAACCTAAAGTCTTGAGCTATTTTCTTTAAATAGCAGTCTCTTCACCATGGCCTTCAAGCATGTGTTCTCAAACTACTTTCCCACCACTCTCTCCTCTGTATGTTTTTTGATACTCTAACCAAATGTGGTTCCTTGGTGCTTGCTGAATATGCACCATGTTTATAGCTGTTTGCCATTCCTCCTGCTCTTCCATCCCTAGTCCATCTCCGTCCATCCATTTTCTACTTTTCCTTATAGGCTTATTGCAAGAGACACCCTTCACAAAAAGATGAGGTGTTTTGGAACCCATAGAGAAGCCTATGCCTCATTTAAGGCACTTGTTTAACTCTGCTTGATATTGCAGGAGTATTTTTTTCTTTCCTGTTTCTGCATCCTTTCCTATAAACTCTTACATCACATCATGTGTACTTGAGCTCATGGTCTAAGTCATTCATTTCTGAATCCCCTGTGGCATCTACCACATAGGCATGCAATAAACAGTTGTCGAACTGAGTGGAATTATAGTTCAAGCTGGACTGTTGATTTGAATGTCGCATTGGGAGAAGTTTTTCTATTTCTTACTCTCACTTTTTCTATAAGTAAGATGGAAATGAATATATAAATGGGCTTCATAGAATAATAGTTTAAAGTGAGAGAATAGGATCTAGATGTCCATCCAGCTGTTATAATACATCTGGTGGATGATATATACACTAAACTTTCTATTAAATATAGAACATTCAAAAAGTTTATTTCACTGGTCTACTATCCTTTTGGTTTCTGACTGAATTTTCACTCATAATCTTAATCTAACACCTAAAAATACAATGTGTTCATGTGAGTTTGTATATAAATATATATATATATGTATAATATACAGGGTCCAGCACAAATAATGACCCTTTTTTATTACAGAATTATAAGCATGTAATTCTGTAACATAACAGTATCACACTCAAGCACACCATATGATGTTTTAGGTGAAATGTTCAAATTAAAACTATAAATTATTTCACCCATATTATTACCCTACCAACCACACTCAAGTAGGCGTTACTTCTACCGGACCCTGTAGGTAGCAGTGGTAGTCTCATTCAGTGGAGATAAATACTGTTAAATAATTTTAGTTCTTTGTGAAATTACTTCAGAACTGAACTGGGCTTACGCCTCATGCCATTAACCTAGACTGAAGAAGGCTTTAAAAACATCGTTTCATAA